CAATTCAGTTCAGTTCAGTTCAGTTGAATTCAGTGCAGCGAATTGGATTATCTCGAAAGCTATCCTCCTACCTCCCATTCATCACAATCAAAATGCAGCCGCAATGAACATACTAGAGCATATATATACCCTATACCTTATAGAGTTATATACACAAAAGTCGCCTTCTCTCTTTCCACTATCCCTAAACTTTAAAACGTAGCCTAAAGTCTCATGTTTGCATATATATATATATTGAAGAACGAATTAGTAACGGCAAAAGCTTTTCAACCGCTTTCAGCGAGCAAACCAAACAAAAATCGCGTGAAACAAAAATCTTTAAAATTGTTCAAAATTTTATATAAGTATTATTGAATTGGACATACAAATTATATATACATATATATACTTATTCGAAGAAAAAAAGACAAAGAAAATTCGACTTATGTTTGTTAGCCAAAATATTTGTACGCCTAAAAAAAAAAAAAGAAAACTAAATTAAATAAATGAAAATTGAAAATGAAAAAAAACAAAAAAAGTTGTTGAAAATCAAGCGTTTACTTTTATACCATTTTTTATCACAATTCCCACAAAAAACTTTTTTTTAGTTAGAGACTTAGCCAGGGCGTTGCTTCACATAGACCAGGCCCCCAATATACACAAAAACACCTAAATTCTAAGCCAAAATTTTTCCAAAAAATACGAAAAACAAATGCATTTTCGCAAAAAAAAAAAAAAAAAAAAATTCAAACAAACAACGAAAAAATATTTCAATATTTTCATTACTTTGTTTTTCATTTCTTTTTCCTTTCTCCAAACTGCTTGTTTTTTGCTAAACAAACATACAAATACAACAAAAACAACAACAATATACAAATATATTTCCCCTCTCTCTCAAAAACAAACAAACAAACATTATATGACACTCAATGCCAATATACACACACGAAATACCCTGTAAAACGCCTGGCCGACCATCCTCGCCTGCCTCTCGTCATGCATCCATCTAAAAAAAAAAAAAACCATATGCACTCGACCTTGGGCGCCGAAACTAACCTCAAATAAAAACGAATAAAATATAAATATATATATAAATTATGTTAATCGAATCGAATTTCATTTAATGATCCAACGACGTTTTCGAAACTTGCTGCATCAAATTCGATATATGAATTCTCTTTATTCTTTTCGTTTCTCAAATTAATTTTCTCTTGCGAAATTCTGTTATCAATAATGTATGCAATCAATATGTGCAACAACAATAATAAATAATATTAATATATGGTATGTATATTTGTACACACAAAACAAATCACATTAAAAAACCAAACAAAATCCCTGGCAAATAGTCTCCGAGAAACCCCAGTAGACAGTGGCAAAATGAAATCATGAAAAACATAGTTGAAATGCATTTAGCTAATTAATAAATAAATTAAAATTACATACATATACAAAAAGTAGGCAATGCTTAACACTCACACATAATACACACATTCACAAATACCGAACAGTTTGTCAGTTGCTTGTGCAAGTATTGGTAAGCTTTGAAAAAGCTTGCATACATTTCAGCACTTGAACACTGTGCGTAAAAGCTTTCAGCTGCAAGTGACAAACCAAATGCGACACGTAGTTTGCTTAGAAATTTTTTACAATACCCTTATACCCAGTAACAGCAGCTCTGCTCTCTTATACTCTATATCTTTCTCTCTCTCTTTGCCTATATTTGGCATATTGTGCCTTTGCCTTGTTTTGCTTGTAGTATTTGATTTGTTTCCAGCAACTACACAAATGCACTTATATTTTGCTTATACATGAATATACATATAATTTATTTGATGTTTTATTTATTTTGTTTATTTACACGCAATATTTAAAATGAATATATATCGTTGCATTTAACAATGCGTAGCTGTTGGCACACTGCAAAAGTTGGCACGCAAAATGTCAGCAGCCAGTCGGAGCAGCTCCACGCAAATTGAGCTTTGCGTGCAATGAGAGCACTGCGCGCCCAAATCGGAGTCGGAATGGGGCGTGGTCGTGAGCGCGGGCAAACGAGTGAGAGAAATTGGAAGACACAAAAACAGAGATGAAAGCACTGCACGCTGAGACCAAAACACACATACAGACATGCATCAATGAAAAAGAAAACAGAAATAAATAAAACAGAAATCCACACACAGTCAGCAACAAGTTGAAGCTTGAGCTTTTTGAGGCTTTTATATATGTATGTATGTATGTACTTTTGTTAACTGTGATTTTCCATTTTCTTTTCACTTCTGATTGTTGCTTCTTAAGTGTGTTATTTTATTCAATTTATTTTGTATTACATTTAGTTATTACGTATGTATGTATATAGTTGAGATATACATAAGTCTAAATTGTTGTATTGATTGGACAGCAAATGCTGTTGTTTGCAATAAAAGAAAACCATTACACGATATAATTTTTTGTGTATTTATTTATTTGTTTCACATGCCGTTGAGCTGCGTACTTGGCCGCTCGTTGCTTAGACTCACACACACACACCCAGCCACACACATACAGTGCGTAATTCTATTAAAGCAATAAGTTTATATTTATATACATAAAACATATACAAATATACATACATGACAATGCTACAGAAAAAAAAAAAAGAAAAAACAATATGTAAGGATATATATACTATATATAATATACATATATATTATCTAATATGGAGCTATGCAAGAAATTTCACAAATTGTAAGCTTTTGTTGTGTATTTGAATTCTAAATAAATGAACAAAGTCAACGATTTCCAATTCCGAATCATTTGATCTGGAGAAAATTGCGCAAATTCACTCGCCGCTCTCTAACTCTAAATCACTATCAATGTCTCTTTGTTGTTATTGTTTCTGGTTTTCGAGTTTATGTCTCTTCACAGCAGCTGTTAAGCAGGTGGCGCCCTACTCTCACCAATCAGTTAAGTGCATGCAGCGCGCTCTCTCTCTCTCTCTCTGTCTCTCATCATCATCAGCAAGAACATTTCTCATTAACGCCTCGCCAACATCATCATCAAAAGCTCATCCGCAGCTAGTACAACAAAAGAACAACTACAACAACAACAACAGCAACAAATCGCAGCAACATCCCCGTGATAAGTTATGGCCAAGCAACATCATCAATGCACTTACCCGAATACACGCACACACATATACACATGCACACACACATGAACACGCTACAAATGAAAACATAAGACCAACAGAAAATCCTTAGAACGTGTATAAAGAACACTCATATAAACAAAAACAACAACAATAACTACAACTAACATGCTCTCAAAAGTAACGTAACGTAAATAACAAAAGCCAAACTACTACTACCTTCCCCCTCCACAAAAAATATATATACGACAACAACTACAACACTGCAACTATAACAGCAACGCCGCTGTCAACGCCAGCTAGTTCTCCCTGCGGCACTAAGTATCATACGTACTCATCGATATTCTTTGCCAACTTTCGTGAGCAACAGCTACAGGCCGCCCAGGAGCGGGAGCGAGAGCGCCAGCTGCAGCTGAGCTTGCGCGTCGGTAATCGGCTACGAGAGACGGCAATTAATTGCAGCGGTAGCGGCAGCAGCAACAGCAACAACAACAATGCTAGCAATGACCCGACAAGTGAAGACGATCTGGATGCAGAAAATGGAAACGGGAATGGCAATCGCGCGTATGTGACCACTGATACATCCGGCACGCTCTACTTTGGCACACAAAGCAACAAGATACGCATCACTGAGAATCCACTGCCCGAGCCGATTAGCTCTTAGATTGTTAAAAGCTACTCTTATACTTATAAAAAACACACACATACTCAACCAAAGAGAGCAAGAGACGAGACAGACACGAACACAAACACACACTGTTATTGTTGTCATGAACTACGTAAAAAAAATACCAAAATACACAAATACACACACGTAGACACAAACAGCAGCAGCCGCAGCAGCAGCAACCGCGCAGCCGTTGCAGCCTCAGACGCCAACTCAAGCAAAGCTTTATCCGCCAGCAACTGTGACAGTGTGACCAGAGCAGCCAAGCGCCGCCTGTATGTAGACTTTAGCCCGAGCCGCGCTCTAAGAGACAAACAAAACAAAAATGAAAAAAAAAAAAAAACAAATTGAGTTTAAATGAAGACACCGCTACCTATACAAGATATTGTACTTATGTTTCTTAAACAATACATGAATCCAATTAAATACCACTTAGTACTCGAAATACCGTTCGAATTTTCCTAGTTTCTGTTTAAAAAAACTAAAAAATAACACAAATAAAATAAAAATCGAAAAGAACACAAAAATAATTGTATTGCAGAGTAATATTGAAATATTTGTAATTTACACTTTGTGCCTGAGCGTAAAATATGCAAATACACATAGATACTTACGTATGTATTTGTTGTCGGTTTTTAGTTAAAAACAATTGAAATATCAAGTATACAAAATAAATACGAAAAACCAAAAAACACTAAAAGAAAGACAAACAGAATACTTTACATATAATGCGAGTTTAATTTCTATTTAGACATTATGCAATAAAAATACGTGTATTTTTTGGATGCGACATATTTTATGAAGAGCTTGCTTAGTTGTTGTGAAAAAAACTAAATAAAATGAAATAAATTAAAATACAAAAACTAATAAACTAAATGAACAAATTACAAGCTTAATGTTAAACGAAAAATAAAAACAAAAATTACATTAACTTAATCCCAAGAGCAAAAAATATAAAAAAATAAATGTAGCATATCAAAAAACAAGCTCTCAAAATTACATATACATTATAAATATTTAACTAGTTATTAAAAAACAAATACAAATATAAATAATTGAAATTCATACTGAATTGCATTCAATAAAACAAACACAAACGCATAAAGGCAACTTAGGTAAAACAAATGCAAATACAACAGATCCACACAAACACACACACACAAAGATAAATAACGAACAACTTTTTGCAAATAACTTCAAATTCAATTTAATAAAAGTTTTAGAAGCTTGCGTGCCGTTGTTTTTATTTTCCTACTCTTAATTATATAGATTAGCTTAACTATTAACAGTTAGTCAGTCACTTGGGTTGCTGCATCAGCAGCTCCTTAACCATGCGGAATGTTGCCTCTCGCTCCTGGCGCATTACACTCGACAATTCCTGCAGGAAGTGCGCCTGCATTTCCCGTTGCTCGCGCAGAAAACGATCCTGGGATTCCTTGAGGGTGGAGAGCAGCTTCTTCTGCCCCTCGCTGATGCTGGTCAGCACCTCGAGGGGCGTTGGCTCTGGCGGCATCTCGAATGAATCCTCAAAATCCTCGCTCTCGGCGACGGCACGCAACAGATCACAGCTGGAGCCGGAGCTGCTGCCTTCACTGTCGCTCTCCAGCGTCGCCTCCGTCTTGGTGGACACGTCCATTTCGCTGGTTGCCACATTTTCACTTGCTGTTGCTTTCCTCGTACGCTTCTTCATCAGCTCGTCGAGCATCTCGAAGTGGCGTGGCAGCATTCGCACATTCCCCAGGCCTTCCTTCTTCACCTCTCGATAGCGCCGCAGCAACAATCGCAGCTTGTTGCGCAACTGATGCGGCGTGCGCTGATAGGATTGCTTTGCCAGGAGGCTCGATATGTAGGCCAGAGTCTTGAAGTTGCGCTTCTTGGAGCCATCCAGAGCACGGAACAGATTTTGCTGCTTGATGATGGCCAGAAAGGCGTCCACCTCGTAATCGGACCAATAATACGTATCCGGATGACCTGACCGAAAGAGTTGTATATATAATCTTAGTCAGAGACTTCGTAAATAAAATGGTAAACCTACGATTGTTCCTGGATGTCTCCGCGTCGCCTTCGTCGCTGTAAATGTAGTCGGACTCGCTGCCGCTGCTGTAGTTCGCTTCGGGTTCAGCGTCCGGCTTCTTCACTGGATTCAGCAGCTGGTGCATGGCCTCGTAGTGCTCGAAGGTGTCGCCGCCATTCTTGGCCTTGTTGTATTGCCTTCTCAGATGCTGGAACTTGATGCGCAACTTCTCGGGCGCCTTGTCAAACGAACGCTTGGCCATTTCCTTGGAGAGCAGCTTGAAGATCTTGGCATTGCGCTTGCGCAGCAACGCAGACTGCAGTCCCATGCTGCTGATGATGTGCAGGAAGATGTCCACTTCGCCCTCCGCCCACTTGACGCGCGCATTCGATGGAATCGCGGCACGAACTAAGGCACCTGTAAGGGATTGAATTGTAATACAAATCGATATATACTCAAAGATGTTGTAACCTTCCGATTCGCTGTCCGTGCCAAGGGCCACATCCGCCTCCTCCTCGCCGCTGTCATTGGAGTCGCTCTCTCCCTCTCCGGCGCTGCTCTCGCCATGCTGCAGCGAGCCATTGAGCAATGCGTGCATCTCCTCGTAATGCTCGAACGTCTCTCCACCGTCCTTCGCCTTCGCATACTGCCGACGCAGCTGATGGTACTTGACTCTCAGCTGGTCCGGCCGCTTGATGAAGTTGCGCTTCGCCATTTCCCTAGCGAGCAGCTTAAATACTTTGGCATTCCTTTTGCGCAGCAGCGGCGTCTGTAGCTTCTGAGTAATTATGATGTTCAGCAGAGTTTCCACCTCGCCCTCTGCCCACTTGCAACGAAGCGGCATTTTGGACGCCGAGCCATTCAAACGATTCGTGTTATCCTCATTGACTAATATGAAAACGGAAAACTATATATTTGAGGCGTATACTAGCTGGTGGCATTACCTACACTCTATCTGCTGCATTTGCTCATATTTCTGCTCCATTTTAATGTCGTCCTCGGAATGCAGTTGCAGCTCTTGCTGCGCTTCATCGTCATCCATTTCCAGCTGCTGCTCGGGCGATGTCAGCTCGTCGCCCAGTAGATCATTCAGATATTTGAAATATTGGCAGGTACGATTGCGATAACTTGCCATAATGTAATCATTTCTTAATTTCATAAATCTATCCCGCAATTCCGAAATGCTCCGACTGTGTCCTTTAGGCCAGCATTTGCTTTCGGCCATTTGTCTGCCCACACGCTGCCAATCCCATTTGCCGGGTCCGTGCAGCCCTTTAAGCGACTTCATAATATCAATGAGCGCCACCGTTTCGTCTACACTCCAGCTGTCGCTGTCGAGTGCGCTCATTTTGACTAAATCGGCCTTTTATTATTTTTGTTTATATTCTTGTCGTTGGCAATTTTTGGCAAAACTAAAATTCAGTGGTTCGCTCAGCTGTTTTGAGCTTGGAACTGGAGCGAGCTTGTGTGAACGGAATGATTTAACAGTGAACCACGGTTAACATGTTGTTGAACTGTTAACCGCAAACACAGAGAAGTTTTCAAATTGCAAGAAATATTCTTATGACTATTCAAACAACTCAAATGAATAATTAATATAAGCAAATACAAATAATTTATAATAATATTATTATAAGCTTTGTTTGCTCAATAATAATAACAGCAATGTTAAAATTTAAAAATTTCAGCAAGAATGCGCCATGTTATTTTGATATTGTGAATGCTCTGTTATCGATCTAAAGTAGCAAACACTTGTGGCATTCGTTTGGTATTGCAGTATTGCGAGCGGGTGGTCACACAGTATTCAACTGAATCTCATTATTGACGGTAGTTTGGCGCTGACACTACGTCGTTTTCGGTGTTCGGAGTACGTTAATAACAACTTCAAAAATACAACCGCATAATAATAAAACAAAGTCAATGATATTGGTGCAAAAAAAAAAAAGAATACAAACACATTACATTGTGGCAGCTTCTTCGCGTGCGTAGTTAACTTACATTGCCCAGCGCGATTAAAGTGTTTTTTGCTGTTAACAATTTAAGTTCGTACCGCTGACTCCTCTGCCCCGGTCGCTCTACCGTTCGTACCGCTCGCTCGTTTCGGCCGTCTCTTTCGTCTGTCGGCCCCGTTAACGCCGAGGTTCAACGCGATCACCGCTTTTTGTTATTGCCATTGTATATTGTATTACTTATTATAATATTCCGTGAATCGGTCGCAACGCTCATTTATTTTTGTTATTTCAACACAAACAGCTTTTCTGCTGAAACATATATAATTTGCAATACAATCGATCCGAAATTCTCCGATTTCGCGAGCTTTTCTCCCAAAGCTCGGCTTTCAAGATGGAGTTGGAGTTGGGATACGCTTGAATAGACCACAAATTCTCTTCCCCTCACACTATCTGTCTCTCTGTCGACTGTCATCGTTGATAAACTTCGAAAATATACTTTCGATATTCCGGGCATAAACAAATCGTTGGATTGTGCAAACAATCGCAGTTCAAAATCCATCACATTCTCACATTTATGCGCTTTATGAATTGAATAAATAATCAAACGCGTGTTGGATACGTACCCGATCCGCAGCAGGAGCTACAGCAACATGTCTATATCTGGCATTATGTTGTGGATGTCTATAGGAGCCAGCTTATTGCTGATCTACAGTTTCGACTTCACATCGGCCTCGGCAACAGCCAACGCCGGCTATGTCGATCATGGAGATACGAAAGGTAAGCGATTTCACAATATCAACAAAAAATTCTGTGCTATTTTTTTGCGTTTCAGTCATAAAGTACATATAAGTTATAAAGATAATTCAAATACTTGCTAGCAAATACTCTTTTTATTAATATTATGAAAAATCATAAACATATGATTTTAGTTTGATAATTTATGATATTATAGTAGTTGTTTTGCAAATACATTCTAGATATAGCTTAAATGTGCTTTTAGTTCTTTTTATACCAATTTTTGCAACTATAGTGTTATCAGTTTCTGAGTTCAATGAGACTAAAATTCGTAAAATATAATAGATTCGACGTAATGAAATTACCTAAACTATTGCTTTTATAAAATATATCATCTCTATACAAGTTTCATCTAATTAGTGTATCCTATTAATATTGTTCTATAGGTATCTCTAGAAATCCACAACAAATCCCATTAAAATTCTCTATACACCTCACTTAATTTATAATTACATCACATACCAATGCTGTTTATGCTGATGCTTATAGGACTCGAGTACGATGGGTCCACTAGTACAGGGTATTATTCTCAAGGCAAAAGATAATAAATACCAACTGAGATTACAGTGAGCACCCCGAGAGACGGTGCGAGCAGCAGAGACAGACAGCCAGAGCAGTTTTTGATAAAAGAGATTCAATTCATTGAATTGGAGGAGGAAGTAGATCTGCCGTATGAATCGTACATCTGTTCATTCTGTTGCCCTTTTGTGAACAGGTTTCCAGCGGCGACAGATTTCCCATGGTATCGCCAACAAGGAGCAGAGAGCACAGTTTTCTACCTGTTTGTTTGTTTGGCTTTGCTTTTACTTTGGCATTTACCTGTGCCCAGCCAGGTAGCAGCTAGATGGCCCATTAAGCATCTCTCAGTGCCTCGGCCAGTTCATTCTGTATCTTGGCTCGAGTAAATATGAATTCAGTACAGATACGAGCACAGTTTGCACGCTTCATTGTCCCTCTCTCACTCACTCTCTGCTGCTCTGTCTCCCTCCCTCCCTCTCTCTCTCTCTCTCTCTCTGTGTTTCTGTCTGTCTTCCACACGGCTCAGGATCACTTTTATAGGCGCAAACGGCAAGCGCTCTGCCAAAATTTTCTATGCCATTTGCATGTTTTTGTTTTAGTTTTTTTTTTTTTTTGGGGTACGCAAAGGGCAGCTCCATTGGCTCCCCTTGCTGTGTCCCCTTGCCCCGCTGTCCACCCGCTATTGTGCAAAAAATGTGGCAAATAACCTGTTTTAGCTCTGTCTTTGCTTGTGCTGTTTATACCCTGTACAACGCTGTAAATGGGTAAGAATCGGGTGTATTGCAGTCGAGCGAGTAGAGGAGAAAATAGAGAGAGATAGACGAAGAGAAGAAGCAGCTTAGATTATTTATATAAAAATATGAAATGCTTTCATTTTCTTTTGAATCTCTAACTTTCTTCGCAACTATGCTTTTCTGAAAACATAAAAAATATCTATAATTTTCCTAGAGTATATGGAAGAGTATGGATGAGGGTTTTATGTTTAATAGAGAAATAATAATAATATAATATTGTACTATTATTATAAATAATAAACTGCAAGCTTAAAAGTTCTTGCACTATACAGGGTATCTCTTAGTTGCTTGCCCTTCGTTCCGCACACTCTTACTTGTTTTTAATGTCTTTCTTGCAAAAACAAACCCACATGCATCGCATCACAGCCATACAGCTTGCTCGCTCGCTCACTCTAGCGTGCTATCTCACTCCCTGGTTTCGTATATGTTTTTGTTGCTTTTGTTGTACTACAGACTTCCTACCACCTGCCTCCCCGAGCTGCCTCGCCGCGTCTCGTCTTGCCGCTTTGTCTTTGCCAACTTCGTACGCATCTGAACCGTGAGATTTTATTTCATGCAAAAAAGTAGAAGTACTTGGACGCTTGTTGTTGTTGTTGTTGCTGTTGCTGCCACAACTTGCAGGTGTTTTGCACACTCACACATGCACACAGGGCAACAAGGAAACCAGCTTATAAATTATAAGTTGCGCTCAGTATTTTTTTTTTTTTTTTTGGTTCTGTATTATGTTTTTTTTTTTCGGCTGTGATTGGGCCAAAACAAGCCTGGTTTGCACTGTTTTTCTGGGCCAAGTTTTGTGCTACAATCCTGGTGCCTGCGGTTCATGTAATTGACGTGCAACTATTAACATAAATTACAGGTCAACTGTACGAATTTAGCTACTTATTGGGGATATAATTTTTGTCTCGTCTGTTCTTCATGTTTACTTTGTGCTTTATTTTTAAGGTAATTGCCTATCTGAAGCAGAAGTCTCACATTAACATAATTTGCACATATTTTCATATAATCGTTAATCATCATTAAGTAATTCTTAGTCTTAGCTATATATTTTTTAAAAGATTAACGCTTCTGGCTTATGTCACCTCCATAGGCACTTATATTAGGCAAATACTCTGTATATTTAGTAACTCCCCTATCATATTCTATTATTTCTTCATTATCTTTATTAAACCGTCTTTGATTTATTCTATTATTCTCTAGCCATAACACTCCAACAGTTCCACCTCATTGGGACTTTACCCATTACTCAAAGTTTTTTTTTATAACTAGTGCAAACTGTCTCCTATCTATAGAATTATAAACGTGCTGAAACCTAATGCATATAGAACCCTGATCCCGTTTATCAATGTGCAATATGGAATGAAAACTCATCGTGACTTGGGAGGCAAAGGCTGCAAATGAATCAACCTGCCATATACGTATATAAGTGTATATATCCATTTTAAAGTCTAAACAGCTCTCTTATCAACGTTGATAACAAATACACAAACGGGGAATGTGTATACCCCAATGATAATTACCCATGCACTACCTACAAGTAAAAAAGAAAAAAATGTAAAATTTGATATTTCGTTTTAACGTGAAAAGGCTGATAGTCGAAATTCTAAACTCGGGAGCTCTTAGCTGACGCATATTACCACTTAAAACTCAAAGTAGGAACACGACAGATTGCATGGGACTGAGAGGGAATGATGGACGGGCAGATACAGTGTATATCGCAATGGTATCAAATTCAGTTTGTTTCCCTCCTTAATATTACGGATTTCTTCATTAATTGGAAATTTTTGCATAGAAGACATCATACATAAGACCAAAGTTATCACAAGACAATCATAACCATATATAAGCATACTAAATACAGGGTATATGAAAACAGGATATACGCGTATAGAACAGGAAAGATATTAGAGTGAGTGCCGTTAAGTGTATTCCAGCGAAAAGTGGCCGACAGAAGCAGAAGGACTTAGGGACATGCTAAGTGGCACAGGCCGGATCAAATCACGCGACAAGCTGAGAATAACAGGACTTGAAAACAAGAGAAAAATAAAGAAAAAGACAGTCCACTCTCGAGTGACGCGACGGCTGACTCTTGAGTAGAGCAGGTAAGGACTAGGAGGACGCCCACGTTTCAAGTCTTACTCTGAGCCGCTGTCTCAGGTTCGAGGCCGCCTAAGACAATACAAAAGTATCGAATTTCATAAGGATAAATGATGTTATACATATTAGCGGATGCACACAAAAAAAAAGAGAGAAAGAGAGAGAGACAGAGAGAGAAAGTTCCCATATGCAAGTCCTCAAAGAATTTTTAGCTGGAAAAAAATGAAATTATGAAAAACACTTGAGAAATAACAAGAGCAAGAAGAAGAAGCAGCAGACGGTGATGTAGTAGAGAA